AATAACAATCTTCACTTCATCCTAACAAATAGTTACTATATTATATCATAAACAGAAATTAGTTTTTTCTATGAAAAACCGTATTATTCCTAGAAGTCTGGTAAAAATGCAGGAAGTCGGCAAATTTTTGTAATGGAAATTGAAAAGTAAAATATTCCTACTTTCAGAATAAAGTTGTATAGTCACTTTTTTCAATGACAGAGTTTAGAATTTATAATTGCTTTTCTTATTTATATAATATAGTTTTATTTAAAAGTGAATGAACCTGACTGAAGCATATGCCAAATGTTCTTAAATAACTGATATAATCTGAGTAAGAAATTAATGAGAAGTCCATCGATAAAATATTTAATGCTCCGTCACTGGTTGACATGTGATAAATCAGAAAATAAACGATCTGAGATAGAACACTTGTTGTCCCAGGTCCTTCCATGCACTCTTAAAATTTGATATAAATATGAGTGTACTTCAAAAAGTTCATGAAGAAATGGAATTAAAGTATGAGTTTATTCTGGTGTAAAAATTTTTCTTTGAAATCCCAGTACAGATTTCATAATACTCATTTTTCTTAAACTTTTTGAAATTCCTTAATACTTGGAAAAATCAGGATTCAGCAGATGTTTATCTTGGGTGACTTTCCTCCTATTCCTGAGGGAATCTCTATCAAATATGTACTAATTTATTATTACAAAAATATAGCCTTGGAGTTTGCAATTTGGAAATTGGTCTAATTGATAGGGGAAATGAACTGCTGGCACCAACTGGACTGCTTATGGCTGCCTGTGCATCCTGGTCACGTTTGTTACTAATACAGAGATCCAGGATCGATGCAAGGAATTCATGTTCCTGAGACTTGAGGTTTAGTCTGTTCCATGAGCACATAGTGAGTCCACTGGTCCCAGTTAGCCCAGTAATTTTCAATAGTCTTTGGTCAAATTTTGCCTAAATACAAATATCAAAACCCAGAATCATGGATATTGAAAGATCATACTGTCATTCCATCCAAACTCTAATCTGATAATGGATACACTATAAAAATACTCTTACTAAATTAAGTAATGATATTTTTTTTTTTTCATTTTAAGCAAGACACTACTCTGTCCTTAGGTCCTACATCAAACTTAGATGTGTCTACGAAGAAAAAATTTATATATTCTTATTCCTTATTCTTAGATTTCTCAGATCTTCTCTTTCTTCTTAGAAATACTAGCCTGAGCCTAATATTTTCTAAAGTACAAGTGTAGACAGTTTTTTGGTTTGTTTTTGTTTTTTTGAGAGGTTTTTGCTATAGGGTGCGTGCACTTGCCAGAAAGACAGAGAGAGACAGAGAGACAGAAAGTGAAAAATCATTCCCTGGGGGGGATGTCCATGCTGCAATTCTTTCTCCTTCATTCTCCTCTTAGGATCTTGAGCAGGCATGCATATATGCCCAGCGTGAGTTTAAGCCACCAGGTCTGGGACTCTAACCACAGTCAACTACATGGGAGTCCAGCAACATAGTCCTTACTCCAACTGCTGGTCCTGACAGTTTATAAATTATTTTCTGCCACCTGTTACGTGAATCATGTGAATCTGAATATTTAATTAATAAAATATCATGATGATTAGAGATAATTGTGAAGTGTGTGGAACATAGTAAGCACTTAAACAGAAAACTTTCCAAATAGTATCCTTCCTGACACTGTTTGCCAAACATAAAGAAATATATACTTTTTTTTTACAAAACTGACTGTAATATTCCTTGTGTGTTAATCCAGTTTCACTATTGCTTCATTATAACATTACTACAAATTTTCATGGCCATGTTCTTATGTGTTGTGCTTGTTGGTTCGGTTGCATTTAACCTATATTAGTGACCTATGTATTCTGATTCACACCCCCTTTACATTGTGTCCACCATCTTACCCTACACTTACCACTTCTTAAATTTTCATTTTATCCACTTATTATCAGCATAGACATTATTTCTAAAAAAATACATTTCTTACTTTTATGTCAGTCACTATGGCAGCAAAATGTTCAACCTAATATTAACCCTACTTTACTAATTTAGCTAAATTACTCCCTAATATTGAAAAGCAGTTTACTATATGAAAGTACACATGTATAGGCACACATGTGCACACACGCACACATATGCACACATACCTGCTTTCTTTTAGTAACTGCTTCTACTTCTTTTGGGTTGTCTCATGTCAAATTTGTACATATTTTTTAGAATTACTTTTACTAATAATGTACTCCTAGAGGCCCATGACCATCAATGAATGGTATTTAGACCTCTTTAAAAATAATATGTATAGATCCAGCCACTATGGCATACATTTCTAAGACACTATGTTCCACAGACCGAGAATGAATCTGGGAGGCCCAGATTCAATTTCTGGTCCAATCTAAAGACTGGATGTGATCACAATAATTAAATCCTGTCTTAAAATATATGTATATAAATGTGTAAAATGTTCATTTAACTTACTTATGTAAATTGTAATTAAAAGCACCAGTGGAATTTTTTAACACTTTAGTTTTTCCTTGAAGAGTCTCATACAAGTGAGACAAGAGCATCTATAAGAATTTTTTTTTTAACAGAGAAAATGCCAAATGCATAAATTGCTATACTTTAGGTAGAGTGCTGGGGCCTTATTTTCTCTGGACCAATCTGGAGCTCTTTTAATGAAGCTTAGCATTCACAAAAATCACTAGGGATCTATCCTCTGAAGGACCGGAGCCAAATATAAACACAACAGCCAGGAAATTAGGAGTAAACAGTCAGGACTTTCTTTCAGCGCAAGGTGGGTGTCATGTTTATGTATTCTAGTCAAAAAGTTATAAATGCCTTGACTGGTTTTCAAAAAAAATTCTTAATACATTCTGTGATTATTACATGAAGGAAAACCATCTGACTTAAATCCACTCTTATAATTGAGACAAGTGAAACAGAATTAGACCACTGCCAAAGTCAGCTGGTTTTCTTGAAGTCATTTCTGAATTTTCTCCATATTTCCTGTAGCTGTATTTAAACTTTCACATCTTTAATCTATGCAACTTTCAAAAATGTTTAATTTTTTTTAATATAATGTGGATTACTATAAATTGTTAAATTTTATTAAATTTAAGGAAAGGAACAGCAATTTATTTGACTTGATTAATGAAGTCAATTTTTCTATTCGTTAGTTTATCACATTATAACTCATTTTATAGCAAAAGAACAATGCAAAATGAAAAATTGTCTGGCCAAAAATTACCATTCGTTTAATGAAAATTAAAGACATAAAGATGAAATAAAAAGAAACTTGTCAATAAAGTAACAGGTTTGGTTTAAAGAGAATGTCAATCAGGGTAAAACTAGTCAAACAATATTAAACCAAAAATAGACCAAAAAAAAGTTAGCTTAGCAAAAATGCCATTTATTGAGTAAGTGAATGGATGAAGGATCTCCATTTTCTTCTACTGTCTTTGTTTTACTTTGAATAGGCACAAACATTTAGAGAGTACCTAGATGTGCAAGATAGGCTTTACATATTTTATTTCATTTTTTATTAGAATAGTTTATATTTTATCTTTTTTGTATTTAATTTTAATTTCTTTTTAAAATTTACTCACATATGTCATTTAGCTTGTAAAGTGAATGTTCTAACATGAATACATTCTTATTTAAGTTTTACAACTATCTTCTGAGAAAGATTCATATATGAGACTAGTAGGCATGAACTCATAGGTTACTCTGTTAAAAAGTGACTATTCTTTTTTTAACTTCTTGCAATTTCAGTAAATTAGATAGAACCAAAGACATTTTGAAAAATTGTTTGCAACCTTTGAATTATTACTAAACATTTGCTTTATATAACATTGGTAGTAAGGGGTAGAAATCCTAGTCCATTATATTGCTATTTATTTAATATCAGGGAAATATTATTTCCGAGTAATTTTATATTATTGAATGTGGAATCCAAATTCATACATGTTCAACAAAAAAAGATGTAATCTTCAAATTAATGTGAAAAATGTTATATATATATTCTTCTTTTATTAAAACCTCCCAAACCATGGTAATATATACCCCTAAAAGTTATGCAGTAAAGAAATGTTTTTCTTCAACTTGAACAAATTGCAAAGGATAAATAGACCACATCTGGATGACAGCAAGGATTAGATTAAAACATATTGTAAAAGATTTGTAATTAGATTACAATGAAGAAAATTAAAAAATTTAAAAAAATAAAATTAATGTAGGCAAATTCAGACCATTGTATAATAAATGCTATGGAAAAACAATCAAATGATATATGTCGTTTGGAGTTGAAAATAATTATTTTTTCGACCAAATGAGTTTTAATAAATGAGTAACTGTATTATGATATAAATGTTTGATTTTTTATATTTCCCAACACTCCAATTTTTATTTCTTAAAATAATTTAGATGGCTTATTGAATGATGTACATATACAATACATGTGTGTGTGTGTGTGTGTGTGTGTGTGTATAATGTGTATATGTGTGTTTAATGTATGATTCTTGTGTAATTCATGGTCTAAATAGTGCAAAGAATCATTTTGTTGTGTCTTTAAAACCTACCCATTAGATATTGAGGGATTTTTGTTTGCTTTGCTCTTTGTCAAAAGACGATCTTCCTTAAAAGATGAGGTCTTTTCCTTGTATCCTAAACTCTGGAAAATGATGTTGCCCACAATCAATTTCCTAAACTCTTTTTGTTAAACAAAACTTTTTATCAGGACTCTCCACAGGGATTCTAATATATTTGTGGGTTTTATGTAGTACAGACTGTCGATTTATAACTCTTAGTGAGATTCAACTAAAGTTTTGAGTCAGGATAACTATTCATACTTATAACACTTGAGTTTTTCATGGATTGTGATAGATTAAAACCATGCATTTTTCTAAAAATGCTAGTGGATGGAGTTCATATATTTAAGGTGTACCTTTAATTATTTTCTTTTTCCTCTTGCTCCCTGCAGATATCTCACAGGGAAGCCACATAAATGGCAAACAGAAATGCCAGTGTGATAACTGAATTCATCCTCCTGGGGCTGACTGATAACCCTGAGCTGAACATCATCCTTTTTGTGCTGTTTCTTGTTATTTATCTTGTGACTGTGGTGGGCAACATTTGGATCATCACAATAATTCTGGCTAGTGCTCAGCTTCATTCTCCCAAGTACTTTTTTCTTAGCCAGTTAGCTTTCTTGGATTTCTGCTATTCTTCAGTCTTTATTCCTAAAATGCTAGAGAACTACGTAACAGGACAGAGAGTCATCTCCTATCATGGCTGCCTCCTTCAGTATTCCTTTGTCAGCATGTTCCTGACGACTGAATGCTTCCTGCTGGCTGCCATGGCATATGATCGGTATCTGGCTATCTGCCACCCCCTTCACTACAGAAGTCTCATGACCCCCATGCTCTGCACCTACCTGGTGACCGCATCCTACCTGCTAGGTTGTGCCAACTCACTCACCCACCTGAGCAGCTTGCTCAGTCTGTCCTTCTGTGGGCCCAATGTCATCAACCATTACTTCTGTGATATCCCATTGCTCTTTCAACTCTCCTGTTCTGACACCCAGCATAATAAGTTATTATTTACTGTCCTCTCTGGAACAACATCAGTGACTACCTTTTTGGTAGTGGTTAGCTCTTACCTGGGAATCCTTCTCTCTGTCCTAAAGATACACTCTACCAGGGGCAAATATAAAGCCTTCTCCACATGTGCCTCTCACCTAACAGTAGTGACTCTCTTCTATGGAACAGTGATATTTACTTATCTGGACACCAGTTCTAGCTACACACAGGACAGAGCCAAAATTCTGTCTATGTTTTATACACTTTTTCTGCCAATACTAAACTTTTTGATATATAGTGTGAGAAACAGAAAAGCCAAAGAAGCCATGAAAAGAATTATCATGAGAAAAATACTTGCTCAGTGAACATGGATGTTCATGAAGATACATCTTTGACGTATTGACATTAATATGGTTATTATTATCAATATTGCAAGTAGGGACATCTATGTTGGAAAGAAAGATATTTTTAAAAGCAGCATATGTGTAAAGATACATTTCTATTGGTCTTGAGAAAGTCGTGTGCATGCACACACACACACACACACACACACACACAAAGTAAACGTCAGAAAACTTTTTAAACTTTTTGTGATGTCTGGGTGGGAGGCCTATTGAATTAGGCTGACAAAAGACCAATTAACAAGAGAAAGATAAAAGTTGATTCATATGCATATGACATGAACAAAATATCTGACTCCCTGGATAACTAGAAATAACTAGAGATAATGGCTTTTATTTCAAATTTAATAGGTGAATAGAGGCAGGTGGAATAGGCTTCTATGTGAAGAATAAATGAGCTTTTTTTTTTTTTTTTTTTTTTTTTTTTTTTTGGGGTTTTTTTTTTTTTTTTTTTTTTTTTTTTTTTTTTGAGAGGTTTTTGCTATAGGGCGTGTTTGCTCTCCAGAAAGACAGAGAGAGAGAGAAACAGAAAGCAAGAAATCGCCCTCTAGAAGGGATGGCCACGCCATAATCCCTTCTCCGTCATTCTCCTCTTGGGATCTCGGGCACACACACACAAGCGCCTGGTGTGAGTTTAAGCCACTGGGTCAGGACTCAAACTGTGGTCAACTACATGGGAATCCAGCAACGTAGCCATTACATCAACCGCTGGTCCCAACAATCTTTAATTTTGATAAAGAATACAGAAGAATCAGCGAATGTATAATCACATGAGCACACAACACACGCTTATACCACAAGGAGAAGTGGTTACAGAGGTTCAGTTAAATTTTCCTTTTTTAAAGTTCTCCAAGGGTTGAGCCATTTTACAGGTGAGGAAACTAAGCATCAACAAAATTAAAAGCTCACCCAAGATCACACAATATCAAGATTTAAAAGCTGAAATTCAAACACACAATGACTCATATACTTATACACTGGTCTCGTACTCATTTTACATTAACAAATAGAATTTCCTTTGTGTATTTGTATGTCATTTTCACCTAGAGTTATGAAAATTTGAGTAATTTCTTTAAAAAATTCTACAGGCACAGAAGGATTACTTTTTATAAGAACTTTACTTCTTCCAGTTGTTTAATAGAAATGCCAAAATAACAATGTGAAGATATTATTATAATAGGGGACATGCAAATTCACCAAAAATCAGCCTTCAAGAAACTTCCGTAAAACAACACAGCCCTTTAAAAATCTTGAAAGTTTTTTTTTTTTTTAACAGAAATGGTACTTGTAATTCCATATTGCTTATGTTCATTCATCATTCCATTTTATGTTTATGTTCTTCCTGCTTAGACAGACATGCATGAACACTTTAGTCCAGCACCATCATTATATCCACAGTTGTTAAGATAGGAAACATAGTCTCTGTTAAATAACACTTCTGCAATATATAATGAGTAATTGCTTGGGGGTTGTAAAAAGAATGTTTATATCTGTAAACGAAATAACATTTCATAGCAACAAATCTTATGTGCTAAAATCTATGGAAGTCTTGTGCTGGCATGTGATGTGGTGGTTAAGGCACTGGACTTCTCATGGACTACCTCACTTTGAGTCCTAGACCCAGCAGCTGAAAATCAGAGTGGGCACATGTGCATGCATAAATACCAGAAGAAGGTGGAAGCGGAGGTATTTCACTGTGGCCATTCTCCCTGGGGTGGGGGGGTGATCGTTCACTTTCCCTCTCCCTGTTTCTTTCTGTCTCTCTCTTCTCTGGCTAGAGCATGTGCTCTATGCAACTAAGTATATTAAAATAAACTTTACTTTGTTGTTTTTAGTTTATATTTTCTTAAAGAATAGTCCTATTGTCAAATATTTTTATCACATCTTGCCATAATAGCACATGCATTTGTCAAAAAATAAGTAATCCCTATTAGTGTTATAACAATTTTCTAAAGCAAAAATATTGCTTAATAAAGTAATCCTTAGAATGCACTAGCAAGCTTTCTGAAGGGTATCTCATACTCATACAATGAGGTTTAAATGTGCATAGAGTCTACTAGGGTATTTATTACGTTGTAGGATTTTTCCAATATATAAAGTAATTTATAGTAAAAAGATGAATATATAGCTTCTTTATTTTCTGAATTGTTTTTGTCAGAATATTGTTAATAATATAATTCTTTGGTAAAACACAAACATTTTTCTTGTGATATTTTGATAAATTACTTTCCAAAGATTTGTCTAAAACTAAATTCCTTCATTTATACAATTATTGTGTGTATTTTAAAATTTACTTACAACCAAGTAAATAAAAATAATGAATATGTTGTGTTATCAACATATCAAAATGAGGGAGGGAAAAACAACTAATGACATGGCATGAAAATTAATGGAAGTACAGTGAGTAATCATCTCTTCTTTCTATAAAATATTAATGAGCTACAAAAGGTAATTGAGAACATTATTATTGTACCTAAATCATGAAAAGAGTGGCATAATCAAATAAAGCAATGCAATCCAAGATTATAGGCATTCAGAGATAAATAAATAAAAGAAATATTATAAGCTTAATATAAAGGTATTGTCTACCAACATTATTAAAATTCAGATATCTTCAGAAATTTATTTTTTCTATGAATTGTCAGGGTAAATTTTTATAATAGCTTTAGCCTAAAATATAAACAGGAAACAAAAATTGATTTACCAAGTCTAGCAAGACCTTACATTGCAAAGACAATGTTCTGATAATCACTAAAGGAATTTAGAAAGCCAAGATTTTCATGAAGTTTGCTTCATCTGCTTCTGAACATTGTGAAGACCTTGTTTCTGAAAATAATTTTATGTTTTTAAAAAACTGGAGCATATTTTGGGGCCAGAATATGGCCTGGGGGTTGGGGCACTGGATCCCACATGTCCAGGTGAGTCCCAGACCCAGCAGCTAGGAAGTCCCAACAGGTGTGTGTGTGTGTCTATGCTAAAACTCCCAATAGGAGACTAAAAGAAAAGAATCCCATGATTTTTTTTTTAAGTATTAGAGGAATGTCATGAAGTGATTAGATTTGTTTTACAATATTCAAAGTTATATAAGATTTTTAAAAAAAGAATAGTGCATTTGAAAATAAATTAAATATCTATTTATTATTAGACTGACTACAGAGAAGCTATTTGGAAACTCATTTGGACTCCACACATTGAGGTTTTACGATATGTAATATCCCAAAACCAGTGAGTTGCTCTAGAAGGTAAAGATCACTTGGAAGATTTAAGGCAAAGATGTACAACAAATTAGTAAAACTTTTCAGGGAGAAGTTTGAATATCAGGTAGATGCTATATGAATTTATATGAGTGTCCTTGCCATAACGAGGTATTTTGCATGTAGTGAGCAAATAGACTATAACTTATCAATATCAAAAATTGTAAGTGGAAGCCAGCAGGTGGCCTAGGAGTTAAGGTGCTATACCCACATGATCGACAGCAGTTTGAGTCCCAGACCTAGTGGCTTGAAACTCATGCCAGGCGTGTGTGTGTATGTGTGTGTGTGTGTGCCCAAAATCCCAAGAGGAAAATGGAGTAGAAGGGCTTATGGTGTGGGCATCATCCCTGGGTGGTGATTTCTCACTTTCTGTCTCTCTCTCTCTGTGTCTCTCTGGTAAGTATATACGCCCTATAGTTAAAAAAAAAAAAAAATCTGTAAATGATCTCTTTTTTGACACACTGCTTTTCTTTTAGATTCACAAAACTAAAATACTCATGTACCTGCACTAGGCTTCATTCCTTGACATTGTGAGGTATCAGCCCAGTTTTCTTTGTAATGAACATACTACGAAACACCAGTATGTTCCTCAAGATAACTAGTGATGAGTAGAGATACTTTCTTTTTTTCTGTAAAGAATTATTTATTTAACTATTATTATTTTTAATTTGACCAGAGAGATAGAGAGAGAGAGAGAGAGAGCGAGAGAGAGAGAAGGTGAGAAAACAAGTCACCAGGTCTGGGACTCAAATCATAGTCAGCCAGGTGGGAGTGTCCAGCACCTTAACCACCACGCCACATGCGGGTTCTCAATACTTTCATATTTTTACTGGACTTCTAAACATTTTACAACATACTCATGAAAAATTGTTTTCTTCTGAATGCCCTTCAAGTTTTTCAAATCCAGTTTTAAAGCTGATACCACTGTTGTCCCTACACCTATTTTCTATTCTTATATTGTTTTTATTTCTCATATATATGGTTTCCATACACTCAGTCACACAAGCCAGACACCTAGTAAGTCAGCTGACACTCATTACTTTCTACAAATATGAGGAGACGTCATACAGTTTGTGGTAAAAATAGAATTAAAGGATGAGTTTATTTTTGTGAAAAAAAAAAAAAACATTGAAATCCTTGTCTGTGTTTTTAGTGACATATATTTCTATAATCTTTTTGAAAATCTTTCAAAGTTAATGTATTAGATGCTGGTGATTCTGTCACTGAAATATTCCTCAGGTTTAATCTATTCATTCATGATTACTGCTGTCTCTGTTCAGGTCCCTAGTTCTTTAATCCTTACTATTATTATTATTGTTGTAGAGGGTTTTGCTTTGGGGCACATGTGCTTTCTAGAGAGACAGAGAGAGAGAGACAGAAACAGTGAGAGGGAAAGTCAGAAATCACCCCTAGGGGATATGGCCATGCTGCAATTCCTTCCTCATTGTCCTCCAGTGTTCTTGGAATGCTCATACATACACATAGTGTAAGTTTCAAGCCATGGACCCAGGACAAGATCCTTGAGTTGGCCATGTGGAAGTCCAATAACATAACCACTCCACCATCTGCTGGTCCCTCTAATCCTAATTATTGAAATAGCCTTCTGATTTCTTCCATTTGCAAACTGCCTATTTCCCCTTTAATAAAACTCCAATTTTACCACAAGGCAAAGGCTTTAGTTATACATCCCCTTGACTATCTTTTTATTAA